TTTTAGTACAGCAACAAAGATTCCAAAATTGCTTCCACAGGCCCCACACGGAGATAGGTAACAAGGGACATTATTAACTTCAACACAGAGCAATTTATTGAAATCCAACACTCCGTTATTAAAATATTGGAATTTTTTTCCCTTTCCATCCCACTCATCACTCTAAATGAATCCACGTTCTCTTTTCTTTATCTCTTTCCCTATCCTCCAAAAAAGCCATCTGCTATTTCCTTTATGAAAAAAAATAAAACCTACAATTAGTGTCTTGTTCATCTTTTCTTTCTCAAAAAAAGAGAACTATTATGCAAATACTCTGCAATTTGGTTTCAAATACTCTTTGTAGTGTGATGAGCAATTTTCCTTAATACAACCCCAGCTTTTTTGCCAGGACTTACTAATAGATTTTTTTAAAGAGAACTTTCATGTGACTTTTTTACGCTCTTCTGATGTAAACTTTTCACATGCATATTTAGAATGGAATTATCATCACTCCTTGAGTTGTAAAAGAAAAAAAAATTGTTTATATATTTCATACTGAAAAAGAAGCCTGAAATAACCTCCAAATCTTTCTTTTACTTTAAATTTCATCATTTTCTTTCTCAAGAAATGGTCTGTACCAAATAATACTCTCAAGAAATCAGAGAAATATGTTTCCTTTGGCTTTTTCTGAAAGCATATTGTAAGTGATGGCTGTTTACCTGTTAGTGCAAATTTGTTGTTTGATTTTAGTTGCTCCTCAGGAAATAAAGTATAATTTGACCCAATTCTTCAGATACAACTAATATCAGGTGTTTGGAGCTGTCTTCTTGTTAACAAGATAAGTTAACAGTACTACAGTGCCAAGTGCTGATGGAACTGAAATTTATGAAGTTCAGTATCATAAGAAGTAGCAACTGCACTAAGAATCAGAAATCCTGAATCTTAAACCTGATCCTAGTACTTATCAAATATAACCCGGGCAGTAAGCCCACCCAGCTTTTGGTTTTCTCCTTTTACACCTGAGAATTACTACGTCCTTTGACTACTTCTAGTGTTATAATGGGGATCAAACCACAACTGCAAATTACGATTTTTGCAACGAGATTATAGATTCATTTTATGGCAATATTCCAGAGGTCCTTAATTTTCATAAAACCCTCAGTAGCTTCATCTGGAGAGCTTGCTACAAATGCAGATTCCTGATCTACTTCTAGCCCTGATTATCAGGGAGTGGGGCCAGGATAGCTACTTGTAATGACAAACCTAGGTGACTCTTAGGCTCATAAGAGACTGAGAGCCACCAGAAGAGAAATGGAGAAAATGCAATCAGTATAAATTTAACTTAATTAGATAATATCTAATGTGGTACTTTATTAAATTAGATATTTAGTTTGATTACATGTTTTGCTTATTTGTTGGTGTATATATGTATATATGTGTGCATATCATAATTCAGTGAAGGAGCCCTCTGGTTTATACTTTCAATATTAATGTTAATAATTAATTAATTAATAACAATACAATATTACTTGGCTCACATTCTTATCTGTACTCTCCTTATAACTACATTGATTTGCTTTATTTCAAATGTTTGCTAAAATACACAGCAAGTAAAACCAAAATATTTCTACCCTTTGGATCCAAATGGGGCCATATTCATAGTAATAACTCAAATTTCTGGCTTTGCTGATTACACAGAAACTCAAACCCCTAAAGAAGTCTCTCCATATAGTTTGGGCACTTACTGAGTGCCTCATATGTACCTATAAACCAATGTCCCAGTCCCAGTCCTCCTGTGATATTTGCAGTGTTCTTCCTTACCAGCCTGGCCCCCCTATGGAGAGTCTCTTCTCCCCCTGGCACCATCAGCTGGTACCACTGTTGACTGGTACTACCTAAGGATGCCAGTATCCTTGCCAGAGGTGATGCCCCTCAGTGCTCCCTGGGCTGCTAGTCCTCAGGTGTTGCTGTGGTTGGCTCAGCAAGGAAGCATAGAAACTGGTGTTCTCCCCTGTTCTATGACTCTGGCTCCCTGGGGCCACTGAGGAGGGGGGAATTGCAGCATCTACTTGAAAGCCATCTGGAAAACAACAATTTCAGCTTCTGCCCACAAAGGTTCAAAAACAGTCTTTTGAATTGGGCCAACGCCGTTTTACCAGTTTATTGTTTCTGTTTGGCCTTGTATCTCTTCTTTCTCAAAGACACTTGCCCATTCTGCCCCACTCTTCCTTACTGAAAAAAGTAAAAGTTTATACCGCACCTAGGACCCTGACTGGATCCAGTAACTCCATATACTCCATCAGACATATACCATAATTGTCAATAATCTTTAGACTCAGCTGAAATCAACACCACTAAAATAGTAGTGGGAGATTAAAAATTAATAATGTCCTCTCAAATAGCTTTAAGGTAATAATAAAAGTCAAATACGTCTGCAAGGCAAATAGTAAAAGACAGAAGTCTAGAGTGACTCTCCATTCCATTTCCTGCCTGTTTTCCACTGCCCAAAGTAATCACTTTCAATTTCTCAGCAATTTATTTTTTTCATTTAACCCTGTATCTAAATATTATGCTTACCCTGTCAACTCTTGATTTTTCCATTTTATGCATCATACACTAACTTGTCACTATGAACAACAGGAATGTACCTTTCACTTTCTTCCCATTATCCGCTTGCTGAAGTATAGTCTACTTCCCTTCCCTTCATTTTCCAGGATAGTCATATGGTGTTTGCTCATATCAACATTTTGTATTTATGTCCTTATGCTTATGTAACTATTCCCAGCCATGCTCTATAGTAAATACATGATTTTCTTTACTTGTGTATGTCTTGTACTTTACATCAAATCAATTTCTTCATTTTACCTTTGCTTAGGTTTCTGTGCATCCATCCTAATTTGACCTTCAGCATCTGCTATATATATATACCCTTAATGTATTTTAAGCTCATTAAGTATTCTATCATTTCCATCTTCTTGGATTACCTTTTCCAGATCAATATGTCCCACTCCATTCTGGACTGACTGCTATCTTGGTCTCTTGTACTGCTTTTATTCTGGAATATCCCTACACTGTCATTTTTTGTTTCCTTAATTAAATGTACTCTTTTAAAGCCCCCTCTTACTTAATGAACACTTCTAACAGAGAAAGGAAGTATGTGACATGAGTTTGTGGGTTTTTTTAAGATTTATTTATTTGAGAGAGAGAGAGAGAGAGAGCATGAATGGGGGAGGGGCAGAGGGAGAGAATCTCAAGCAGACTCCCTGCTGAGCACAGAGCCCAATGCCAGGCTTGATCTTATGACCCTGTGATCATGAGCTGAGCCGAGACTAGTAGTCCAACACTCAACTGAATGAGCCACCCAGGCACCCCGTGAGATAAGTTGTTTAAGAACAGACATGCCTGAACATGTCTGTATATCCACTCACTTACCTGAAATTTTGCTGGATTTGGAATTTGAGGTTTAAACAATTTAAGCTTCAGAATTTTGAAGTCATAGCTCCATTTGGGAGAAGGAACTGGAAGGTGGCCCCAATTTTCTCCATATATAAATTTACATAACCCTACTGTTTTCACCAGAGTACTTCTCTTTCCATTTTGCCTAATATCCATAGTCCACAATCCTTTTGATGGAGGGGAGGAGATCTGTAGTCTTAGGTGCTTCCTAAATACACTTTGAAACAATCCTACTAACGGAAGTTTCTCCCTCCTGCTCCATTTGCAGAAATTTGTGGTGCTAACACTACTTGAGCCTTTGGTGGTATACACATGTGGTGTAAATTGGATTTCTTCTCTGTTTCCCTACCTGCTACATTAGGCTTCAGATGTCATACATATGCAAAATTAGTTACAACTAGTAAGCCAATTCCTACTCTTATTATTCTATCTTTATTGCCTCCTCTCTATGACTGTTGGTGTCTGCCTCTTGATTAATTCCTTTATTGCTAGTATAGTGGAATTGAGAGGAAATGGAAGTAAATTTGTGTATTCAATCTGCCATGCCATCTTAAACAAAAGGTCAATATAGCTTTCTGTGCATAATTTTTTGTTTTGAAAAATTTCAAAGTTAAAGAAAATATTCAAGAATGCTACAATAAACATTCTCATGGCTTCAGTGTAAACTGATTGATAATAAATTGCCATATATGTGCCACTCCCTGTGTGTGTGTGTAAGGTCCTATCTGTTTCAAATTGCAGTAAAGATACTTAAAATAACTTTTAATTGGAGGCTAACTTTAAGATGTACTAAATAACTATCATATGTCCAATTTTATCTTCATTAAACCAAAGTGACATGATTATGATAAAGAAATTAGAGCTGTTTTCTCATTTTATGAAATGATAAAGTTGGAGTAGACAATTTTTTATAGTCTCAATTAGCGTTCAAATTTTATAATTCTATGAATAATACATCACTTACAATTTTGGAAATGAAATAAATTTGAGTAAAGACAAAGTTATGGAGCAAAATGTCTTATTAAAAGGTTTATTTTTCTACATAAATCCACAATGGCATATTGCTTATAATTGTTTAAATTTTGATATTTATAATTTATAAATTACACCTGTGTATGCTCTCTAAATCCACACTAATAATGGATGACTTAACTTTGGGTCACCTTATACTACGTGAAAATAACCGCACTTGTATAGATTATTGTATTCTAGAACTAAAGATCAAAAGTTAAAAATCTACAGTATAAGCTAGGATTCAATATCAACTAACTTAGCAGTAAAAAAATCAAATATTGTCCATATTACAAAAGAAAAAACACTAATATTAATTTTATATGCATTTAATTCTATAACATTTTCCATTTTAACAAAAGTATAGTCTTTTTCACTTAATTTTACTTGAGCTAAATCACTTTAAGAATATAATAGCTGCATTAATGTCTTTTCATTTTTAATTGATTCCATTGAATGAGAGTACATTTTCAAAATTATGATCAGCACCATTAATATCGTGCTATAAAGAAATTTGAGTTGAAATGATGGTGTTATTTATTAATTTTTTATAGGAAGCTTTGATCATGGCAAGTATGGACCATCCACACTTAGTCCGGTTATTGGGTGTGTGTCTGAGCCCAACCATTCAGCTGGTTACACAGCTTATGCCCCATGGCTGCCTGTTGGATTATGTCCATGAACACAAGGATAACATTGGATCCCAGCTTCTGCTTAACTGGTGTGTCCAGATAGCTAAGGTAAGTGCCCATCACTTCCCATGGAAATAACTCTCCTGGCTTTCTTTCTCCTATTCTAGAACAGTATGGATATTGAAAACATGTCTAGTCTTTTAATATACTTAAATAAAATAAATTACTTTTGCTATAATGGAAGGTATATGGAAGTTTTTGCATTCAAAGCACAGATTAAACACATGTTAAACATCTTTGGATTATTTTACTGCTAATTGTGTTATATGGACCAGATGCCAAAACAAATAGCTTACTGGTCAGGAGAAAAAAAAAATGTTATACCAAATTTGATTGGCTTTTTAATTTTTTTAATATAATCTAAATAACAAACAAAATCCAAGAAAGCCAAGATTGAATTCTGAATTGTTCCATTTTTAGAGGATTTTATTAAGATGGTATGTACATTCAGTTCTCAGTATTACAGATGATCAAGTTCTAAATATTTTCCTAGACATTTTGATAGTTCTCAATTAGTCTTTAATGGTTGGGGTGTTTTGGTACAAGGCATGGCATGTGACATACATAAGGGAAGTGGCATGGATCTCAGCACCTGGGGTGATGGGGACGTGGCTGTGTAGTGGGCTAGAGGACACCTACTGCCCTCTATAGGACTATGGTTTTTTCCCACCAGAGTTATGTGCTCTTCCAGTTTTTCAGAGGGGCCAGAATTCTGGATTTTTTTTTTTTATGTGACTTCTCCAAATTTAAATCTTGGCTCAAACTTTTGAATTGTTCTGGAAGCCAAACAAAGCATTTATGTCCCGCTGTCCACCAGTGTGAAACTTCTGGTGTACATTTTTTATATTCAAAGAACCCATTTATGATTATCTATACCAAGAATATTTCTTGAAAATTTTCTCCTAGGTAAATAGATCTGAGACAAGTTTTAATTCTCTATTTCAACTTTTATTTACATCAAAATTTGACCTAATGTGTGGTTCATTCTACAGATGTGTTCATCTTTGCATTTGTATAATATAAATGCCAAAATGTTAATTTAGTAATTCTAGGCTATTTCTTTTTACAGTCTAAGAATGAATGAAAACTCATTTCCCAAAGTAGAAATGTTAACCCCAAAAAATTATCTGAGGGAAAAGCCCAGTTTAGTTTTATATACCATAAATCTCGTTATAGTTTCCTTATGGACCATTTTTATACTTTTTTGACAATTATATAACAAAGTCACAACTTAGAGGATTTTTTATGGTAGTGAAGTTTGAAATACAACTCTTCAAAAATTGATTTACATATCTAAACTTCTATGAATTATAAGGTGAGCTAAACAGGCAATAGAAATTTTCAAATCATCCTAGCACTATAGATGAAAACAACTCTAAGTTTCAAGTTCCTTTGCTGTTCTCTCTGTCTCCTGCAGGTTTCTTCATAATTTAGGTTTTATCCTTAGGGATTCATGAAATTAATATATCATTTATGCAAGGCTGTACACCCTAATAATAGAAACTACTTTGAGTTCCCAGAATAATCACACTGTTTTAAAACATTTTGCCTTTGTGAATGCCAGCCTTTCTACTTAGAAATCTTTCCTCATAGCTTCTTGATCACATAACATGATCTTTTCCATCCATCAACACTGATTGGGCTTCCTCCCCTTACAGCACCTGTCCCTACTCAACCTTTTTCTCCAAACAGAAGCAACTTCTCCTGCTTCTGTACTGGTTTTGGTCATTGGTATCTTGAACACATTTGTATTATGTAAATGTTATACTATGTGTTTATATAACTATCTGACTATATGGCAAGTTTATTTAGTCATTAACCTTTTAATAAATACCTGTAAACACCTTCCATGTGTCAGGTATTATGCTGCCTAAAGTGTTTAGGGGCAAATATCATGGACGTGGGCCTGGTTGTCTTTAACGGCGTAACAGTCAACAGATAAAACAATTAAGTATAGGATTATACTTAATTCTTAGGTTCAGATTTTGAAGAAAAATAATTACAGGAGAGACTTAAGGCAGACCCTATTGAGTCCTAGGAGAGAAGAGTTTGCTTATGGGAGGAAAATTTAGGCAGACGAAAAATTCCACAAGAACCGTGTAATTTATCATCCAACTGGGACAATTTTAGGAGTGAAAGAAGGCTCTATCACTAGTTCCACCAAGACAGCAGGCACACCAATGTCCTAAACAGAACCAGATGTGTGGTAACCCTGTGTGGCATGAAAAGTTTGGATTTTATTATAAATATACTGTAGGTATTGAAGTATTTTATGTTCTAATGAGATCATGCCGGTTTATGTATAGAGGTGAGATCAAGGCAATCCGAGAATGGAAATGAAGCTACCAGTCAGAAGTCTGGGGGTAATGAAAATAAGGAGAAGTAAATAGGATTAGGACATATTTTTAAGATAAATATAGGCATCTGAATACTGATCAGTTGTGGGGGAGTATGGTGCTGCTGTTTCCTGAGCTGGTGAAGACTGAGGGATTGAACATAGTTGCAGAAAAAAATTCAGGAGTTCAGTTCCAGACATGGCAAATTGCAAAGGTTTATCGAACATGGCAGTGAAACTTCCAGTTAGGTAGTTGAATTTGGTTTGGACTCTCAAGATAGACTGAAGAGTTATAGGTATTTAAATATATAGGAAAATTTGTGATTACCTAGCTACTAACTCAGTCTGATTCATATTTCTTCCTAGCACCGAAAGTTGGTATAGTAGCCATTCAATAAACATTTAGTAAATATTTTAACTCAAAAAGAAAATGAAAAAATCTACACATCTTTGTCTTTTTTCCTACTTCAGGGACAGAATTGTGTAGTGGAAACAGCATTAGGATCAGAAAGACCTACATTAGTATGTTGGTGATCACTTTTAAGTTTTGTGAGTTTGAGTAAGTTAGTTTTTGAATTTTGTTTCTCAGTGTATTAAGAGTTCATAATCACTACTTTTTATTTTTTCTCATTTGCAAAATGAGTGTAATGGTATCTACCTCTGGTAGGCTGAAACTCCCTGCCCCCAAAGATGTTAAGTCCCATCCCCAGCATCTGTGAATAAGTTACTATACATGTTAAAAGGGAATGTGTGAATGTTACTAAATTAAGGATCTTGATATGTGATTATCCCGGATCATCTGGATGGGCCCAATGTAATCTAAGAATCCTTATAAGTGGGAGTAAGTAAGATAAAAAGATGGGAGCAGATGTGGAGTGATGTGCTTTGAAGATGGAGAAAGGAGCCACAAGCCAGAAAATAGAGTCTACCTCTAGAAATGAAATAGATCCTCTTCACAAGGTCCAGGCCTGCTATACCTTGATTTTATTCCAGTTTATAAACCAGTTCAGGACTTCTGACATCCACAGCTGTAAGAAAATAAATTTGTATTGTTTTAAGCCTATTCTGGTAATTAGATACAGCAATAAAAAACTGATATACTTCCTCACAGTGGTTTGCAAAGATTAAATAAAACAGTCCAATGTAAGTTCTCTGGCTCAGCTCCTAGAACATGGAGTGTTTAAAAACAATCTCCTTTATTAGCTATAGGTTGAAAGCCTCAAAACAGAGAATTGTTTTTAAAACGTCTGCAAAATATGAGTAAGATGGTCTTAGTAAACACAAGTACTTTACAAATCTTATTCCAGTCAAGAAGGCTCATGAAAGTAAGCATCATAATTGCTCCAAGACCCACTTTGCTTTTGGCTGCATCCTTTCTTTCACTGATAAAGCTGGAAGGATAGGGGATAATACTGTAAAATGACAGAGGTATCTTTGTGTTATAACATTCTATGGAAAATACAACAGTAGGTAGGAAAATAATAATTATGGCTAACATCAAGCAGCTCTTTCTCATAGCCCTGAGATCATGACCTGAGCCAAAATAAAGAGTTGGACAACTTAACCACCTGAGCCACCCAGGAGCCCTTAGACACTTGAGATTTAAATCACAAAGGAGAATATCTGTGGTTTTTAGGAAAGATTAATGTATTTATTCATCTAAAAAAAATCAAGTTATGATGTAGCAGGTACTATCCCAAGATCTAGGATTTCGAGAAAGAGTAAGTCCCTCTATCATAGTTTTTATATTCTACTGGGGGAGATAGATAAAAAAACCAAGTAAACAAAAAATATTGCCTCAAATGGTGACAGATGAGAGACGGTGCCATCCATTAGTATTTTAGGGCAGAATTTAAAAGGAAGTAGTACTCTGTTCCTCTTTTAGTTCTACCATTTATCATCTGTATGACTTTGGCAAATTCCTTAATATCTCTAAATCTGTTTCCTCATCTATAAAATGAGCAACAGCCTCCATTCGTCCAGCTGTTGTGATGGTTAAATGAGATCATACCTTAGCTTTGAACATTTGCTACCAAAGCTTTAGTACTTAATATGTCATTATAATATTAAGTAAAATTATAATACAGTATTTAATATTTATTATCATCAAGACAATGTAGACATGACTTCTACAGAAAGGCAGTGTATGTAACAGAAAGAATATCAACCATAGAGAAATACAATCTGGGTATAAATTCTAATTCATAGTTGTGAGAACTTTGAGACCCATTTTTCCATTTTGCTAAATGAGAATACTTGTGCTTATATAAAATGAAACAAAGCTATGTTTATCAAATTTGAATTAATAAATAAATAGGAGCAACTGATATTAATCTGAAAAATTAGAAGGTTCTACAGAACAGGAATATATATATATTTCTTTATTCATTTTTACTCATTTATTATATTCCTTTATTCATTTGTACTCATTTATTATTTTACTCATGAATATAGCAAATTTCCTTTGAGACCCTACTATGATTATAATGGTGAAGGAAAACAGATTTTGGAATTAGAAAAATCTAGCTTTGAATCCCAACTATCAATCATTAGCTGTAGAATTTTTGGCAAGTTTTTTAAACTCTCTCAACTTCCTTATCTAAACATCAGGATAACAATATTTAGTTCACAGAGTTATTATAACAATTAAATAAAATAATAAAGTATGTCATTATATTAATATATTGCCTAACACATGGTATTGCTCAATAAATATTGGCATTGCGGGGGTTTTTTTTGGTTTTTTTTGGTTTTTTATTTGGTTTGTTTTTTTTTAATCACATAGAACAGTGTTTGGGCCAGCCATTTCAGAAGAAGATTGCTATACCTTTGTACAATTAAAGGGTTCACTTGAAATTTTTTTTCCAGGACAAAATACAAATCTGCCCTGGAGAAGTTTTTCCATCATTAACCCCATGTTAAATGAAAGTGAATTTGATCTGAGATAACAAATTAGGGGAACATTACATTAATTTTTTTTTCTAAATTAAAATTATTCCAGCTTGGTGCTAACCTATCATCGTCGGTCAGAAATTCCATTTTAAACATGTATTGGGAGGTCCCACAAGGATTCTTCTAGGGATATTAAAGAATCTGATGAGAAATATATGATGCTCCAGGGAAGTAAAAATCAAAACCACAATGAGATACCACTTCACACCAGCCAGAATGGCTAAAATTAACAAGTCAGGAAACAGATGTTGGCAAGAGTGTGGAGAATCCACACTTATGTAGGAATGCAAGCTGGTGCAACCACTCTGGAAAACAGTATGGAGGTTCCTCAAAAAGTTGAAAATAGAGCTACCCTGTGATCCAGCAATTACACTACTGGGTATTTACCCCAAAGATACAAATGTAGTGATCCAAAGGGACACCTGCACCTCAATGTTTATAGCAGCAATGTCTACAATAGCCAAACTATGGAAAGAGCCCAGATGTCCATCGACAGATGAATGGATAAAGAAGATTTGGTATATATACATAATAGAATAATACTCAGCCATAAAAAAAAAAAGAAAAAAAAATCTTGCCATTTGCAACAACATGGATGGAACTAGAGAGTATTATGCTAAGTGAAATAAGTCAATCAGAGAAAGACAATTATATGATCTCACTCATATGTGGAATTTAAGAAACAAAACATAGGATCATAGGGGAAGAGAGGGAAAAATAAAACAAGACAAAATCAGAGAGGGAGGCAAATCATAAGAAACTCTTAATCATAGGAAACAAACAGGGTTGCTAGAGGGGAGAGGGTGGGAGGATGGGGCAACTGGGTGATGGGCATTAAGGAAGGCATGTGATGCAATGAGGACTGGGTATTATATAAGACTGATGAATCAATGAACTCTACCTCTGAAACTAATAATATACTCTATGTTAATTAATTGAATTTAAATTTAAAAAAAAGAAACATATGATGCTTGGCAGACAGGGACAGTCTCTACTTTTCTGACCTTCATAATTGGTACATAAAGTTGCTCCTTGTTCAGCTTCATGAAAACAGAGCTCTCCAATCTCTAGTATCTTAAAGTAGTTTGCTGTGTATACAAAAGGAAAGGAAAGCAATAGAAAAATTACATGGAAAGGATCCAGTCCAGAAAAGTTACTTTGTAGAGGTGGTGAATGTTTAAGAAAAATTAATATCAGAACTTGTTGAAATTTTGGCATAGCAAGGAGCCCTGGAAGATTATCTCGTTCAGTGATTAAAAAAAAAAAAAAATGTTTAAGGCATGCAATTGTTTTAAGTGAAATCTTATACTTGAAAATCTAAACAGATAAAACCAAGCCATAACTACAGCAGCAGATAGCATTGAGAGGGCTTCTTGGGACCCTGAGGTTCCTGGGGTCTTCACAGAGACCAGCTTGAAGACCATCCGATGAGCTTGTGTTGAAGATGGGGAAACTGAAGCCCAAACGGGCGACAGAGTCCATTTAAGGCCACAGTTCTTAATCACAAAGCCAGGATCTAAATGCACCCTGGCCCCCCTGGTGTCACCAGACACCCCAGCCTGGATCAACTAACAGCCAGCACCCCTTCCCCTGGCTCTGTAAGATTTGTGGATTCCTTGTTTACAACTGGTGAAGTAACTGCTACAGTATTAGTTAGTCTAACAGATCATATGGCTCTTGTGATAACTTTTAAATGATGTAATGAACTTTCCCCCTATACAATATTAAATGAGAGGCAGCTAGATTTTTACCTCCACGTACTTTTGTGTTTTTAGTTTACCTTCCAAGGGTTTCTTTTTTTTTTTTTTCGAATCTCTCTTTTCCACCCATAGTTTTCCCTCTCCATCTTTGTATCAGAAAGTCTAATAACATTGCAACCTCCCAAATTGGTGATAAAGCACCTGGCTGAATTTGAATCGTATTTATCCCCTCCCTGAAACAACTTCATGCTTTCTATTTATGTGCCAAGTTCTCATTGCCTGAAAGGAGGACGATATAAAAGGGGTAGTAAGGGATAAGAGAGACTCTCGAATGTACCAGATGAAAATGAAGTTTATTGATGCAGTTTCTAAAGCACAGGTCCCAGAATTGCAATGAGGCCTTAATTGTTTCCTGGGGTTTGCATGAAATATGAAGGCCTCTCACAGTCATTGTAGGTTATTTCTTGTCTAACCTATAAAATAGCAAGCTTCCCTTTTGTTTTGCTTTGCCCGTGGCTTTGTTTGGCATGCTGAGCAACTCTAATTCAGCTTGGAAGTTACTCTATTGTAGAAATGGCAAAGTTTTCATTCAGTTACCATACACATCCAGAAAGTAAAGAACTTAATTTCTTTACTGTAAATGTATGCATTAGCTAGTACTTTTAATGTACTTTTTTTTTTTTGACGGAAAAGTGAAAGCTATGCAACCCAAATGGTTTAAATTGCACTTCATGTGTATAAAGTGTTTTCAATTACATCTATTAGCCATGGCTAGGGGAAGCTTGGTATTGTGGCAGCTTTTAGGAGCACAGTGGTTTTCTCAAATGCAGATTCAAAGTAGCAGGACTGGTATATCTACTTTATGGCTCCCCTATGGCTTTTGTTTCCAAAACTGTTGAGTTAGACGGGTGTTATAACATTGCTCTCAAGAAGTTGTGATATATATTCATGATCTTTTAGATGTATGCATGCAATGCCATTTTTCCCAGATTTCAAGATGTTTACAGTAATTCAGAGAGATGGGACTTGCCTTTTGCTGCTCATGGGAGAAACAAAGGATGAGGAGCTCAAATGATTTGGCTGAAAACAGAAAAAACATATTGAGACTGAGGGCAAAACAAAAATTTACTTCCTCTACACCTGCCCAGTTCCTTCTCCAGATAGTATTAAAAAAAACCAAAAAACCAAAAAACAAACAAAAAAACTTTTTATTTTGAAATAATTGTAGATTCATAGAAAGTTAAAAAAAAAAATAAAGAGGGTTTCCATGTTGCCTTCACCCAATTTCCCCAGTGAGAGCATCTTGTATAACTATAACACAATATTACAACTGGGAATTTGACATTGGTACAATGCACAGAGCTTATTCAGATTTCCCCAGTTTTACATGAAAACTGTGAGCATCTGCATGCGTGTAATTCTAAGCAATGTTATCACATGTGTTGATTAATATAACCACCACCACAGTCAAGATACAGAACTATTTCATGACCTCATGCCATCCTTTTATAACCAAACAAAAATTGTACTCTCAAGTCTTGTTGAGATCTATATTTGTAATAATGACTTATTTTTTCAGACATTTTTTGAACTTACTGTTTTTAATACATTACAATGGACATATCATACTCTGAACACTAAGTCTAATTCTAGCATTAGTAATTTGGTAGAGTTTTACTTCAAAGGATATCCTCCATAGATTTGCACATATAAATTCTAGAATAGTGGCTGTAAAGAAGAACTGGGTTCTGTGTTATTGACCTAGGAGGGACGCAACAGTCAAAATGTAGTGTTAGATTCTCTTACAATTACTTAGTGGGAACATCTACACTCCTACTTACCATAAGAAAATGATTTAGCAGGTCACTGGCTGCAGAAGAAAGATAGCCCAATCAAACCCAAAGGGCATGGAGCCAGAAGAGAAGAAAATTAGGTTAATAATGAAGACAAAAAGAGAGAAAGCAGCTAAGGTTTTATGTCAATCTTCTACCTTCTGAGAAAATTCAAAATTTAGAATAATGCTAGTTAGTATTATACATGATGAAATGAATATACACAGCTTGTATGATATTATATGCATGTGTGTGTAACAAACATAAATACATACATATTATATATAGCTGGGTTTTTTATATAACTTTAATATAAATATATTAGTGAGAGGAATTTATATTTTAAATATAGAATAATTCTATGTAGTTGAAATTCTACAATATCCAATTTAATATGTATATATGGAAAAGAGCATTGGATGGGGAGATCCATTATTTTCATGATTAGAAATAACAGGCTAAACACTATTTGTACAAAATTTCCCTTTCTATCATCTAAATTTGATGAATTAAGAAGAGCTTGCTGGCAGATGTTTGTTATTTTTCATCAGGCTAAGGTGAGAGTGGAACAGAATATGTGTGTAGTTGTGGAAAGGAAGGGTGAGCTGAGTGGTTATGAGCACATAAAAAAAGAGTGGCTATGGGTCAAAGATTTTATCCTTCATTAAGAATCCTTTTCCTTAGCTCAGTATCTACCCCATCACAAAGCGAACAAAGGATGAGCTTAATGACAGTCATCTATCAGCTAGCTACATTTTAAGCTTCAGGATCCTGCTATTCCCAATGCTCCATGCCTTGACAAGGCTAATTGTATAATTACAACACTACATCACCCACTCCTGGTGCACTTTCACTGGCAGGGACCAGAACTGGGGACTCTGATGATTATTGCCCCAAGCAAGCACATTAGCATGAATACAGTTTACTGATGGGGCTGCTCTATTAGAAACTAGTATATAAAGCTTAAGCCAAGGATTTTGTCATGAAGTCTCGTGTAGATTAAATGTCAGACTGAATTGAGCTTTAAAATCAGAATTATTTTATTTTTTAAAACAAAATGAATGATTCCCCTATATTTTCATATTCTTTCTAGTATGTGTGTAATTGCCAAAGTTATTATGCTAAAATGAAATCAAGTTTATAAGCCTTTCACCAAGGATGCACTAAGTGCTAAATAAAATAATATCCTTAAGCTAATTCATATGTAAGGTTAAAGAATTCCATAAAAATATAACCAATATGGGTCAGACAGAGGAACTTTTGTGATACCAAGACTGTTCTTAATCTGGGTGCTGGTACTCAATTTATGAAATATAAATATATTATCAAAACACTTTAAGAGTCTAGTTATTTATGTTTTGCTTTAAAAATTTCCGATGGCTACATCTTTAAAGATTTGGCACATCAAGTCAGAGCATCAACCTGAAATGGCTCTGTTTCTATTACAGACTGGAGGCAGGTATGGCAATCCCTAAAGCAAGAGTGTACAGCCAAAGTCCCTTCATTGTGGGGTTGAAATTTTTCATGAATTGCCCCCAGTCCCTGATATGCAACCAACCTTGACTGGTGCTGATCAGAACTTTGTGGAACAGGTTGTCCTTGCCATCCTTTGGTTTCATGTACATTGACAATGACAGTTCACAGCAGTAACAGTAATAGAATAACAATCAATGATATTATCACTCTTATTATTGTCCATATTATTCCCATTGTACATGAAAACGCAAGACTTAGAGAGGTGACTTTTTCAAGGTCATGTAGCTAATGAGCAAGGAGGTGTTTATCTGGCACAGTCTGCTCCTCAGCTTGACCTAAGCATTTCCACACACTGGCTCTCTCAGGGCCACTGTATTGTACAACTCCAGGACCAGGGTAAGGCAGTGACCTCAAATGGATCATACCTATGCCTAACTAGGTTTCCATCTTAATTAGGTAATTGAAGGAAATATTTCTTATTTCCCATGAGAAACAGTAAAATTTAAAGTATAAAAACTGACCTACGTAGGGTACCTTGTACCTTAATTTTGTGGGGAATGTGGGAGAGCACACTTATGGATGTCAATATAATGACTTGATTACTTCTAGAATCACCATCTTTGACAGCTACTCTTGTTATTATCCTCCAAAAAATTTTTCTATTAAAACATAATTAAATGGGCTGATAGTTTATTCCATTACTACCTTTACCTGAGAACATGCCAGGTATGTGACACTTACGTACTATCATTATATCAAAATGTCTCTACGCAGTGGGACTTCAATCGTGTAGCTTCTTACAATAATATGCCCATGCTTATTGTGCTGTTACAAGTACCCATTGTCTTTTTCACAGCTGCCCCAGGGTATCTGGCCACAAATTCCTCACATTTTCATCAATCACTGAGGTAGTAGAAACCTTTATCTTTCTTCTTTTTTTTTTTTTAACTTGCATTCCCCAAAAGATTGGCTTGGAAAAACGTTATTGAAAACTTCTTTTAAAGCAGATTCAAGATATTACAACAGTGCCTGCTAGAGTCTGTCAACGTTTCCATTATAAACCTATATTTTCCAGGTTTATTACTTAGCTGTAAAATTTTCCTGTGGACTGTGATACAGAATACAGAATTTTAGCCCAAAGCAATTTTTATTATCATCGCTCAAATATTGAGATTTTTCAAGTTATGATTGTTTTTAAAAGTGCCACAAAAATCAAATACTTTAGGGGACACCCATTTTAAATCCTTTATAAAATGCAACATTAAAAATAATTTGTTCCTCATAAGAAACAAAGAAACAAATAACTAGACTCTCAAGGCCTGAAGGGGAAATTTTGTGAGCCCACATGGATTTATTTCCTTATGATTTGGGGGCTAATTTGATATTTAGATTGAGATTTTTAATATTACTACAATAAGCTTTCAAGAAATTGGCACCATATGGGTCTGAAAGAAATTGGATTGTAGGCAAGGGAGAATCACAATACAGATTGAAAATTCAACCCACAGAAACAGTATTCTCAAAGCTACTGATGTTGCTGCCTTTCGAGATAGTGTTGTGTTTTTTGTTTTGTTTTGTTTTATTTTCCCTACTGGTGAGTCTTAGAAAGGCTGATAAACAATTTATAAACTGTTAAAACATTGGGCGGACTACCAGAATCAGGAATTTTATCAGCATATCAGCCCCCATTACAACTTAATTGAATTTCTTGTCAACAGAAATTGCTACACTGGAAGTTCTAAATTTTTCTATCCCCAAAATACATATAACACTAGCAGGAAAAAATATGGATTCCTTATACTGCCAGTTTGCTCTTCCACATCTTTAACAGGAAAGTACTACATGGGTGTACTCCTCCCTGTTGGGACTGAATGAATTTAAAAACTTCTACTTTGGGTGATTAAGGCAGTTAAATTAGGTGTACTTTATATCATCAAAGAACTGTTATTTCAGGATTTAAAAGGAATCACTCCTGAGGGAGTTCAGTTCATTAATAATTCTAAAGCACTTGAAAACACATTCTTGTGTGTGTAAAGAGGGAACCTGTATTTAAGTATAATAGGGGAGAAACAAACCTAGATAGAAGTTT